CAGGCCTTTCAGAATAACCTGTAAAAGAGGACTTACTAGGCTTGGAGATGGCTCAGTTGGGAAAGTGTTTGTCTTCCAAGCCTGAGGACCTGAGTTCAGGTCCCCAGGACCCATGGAAAAAGTGGGGCACAGTGGTGTGTGCCTGTAATCTCAGTGATGGCAAATGGGGTGGGGCAAGAGAGACGGGTTGATCCGTGGAAGGCTGCAGGCCAGGCTGGTGGCAGAGTTTCAGGTCAGTGAGAGACCTGTCTTAAATAAAGGAGGAAGGTCGACACTGGGACCCTGAATGCATGATGCCCCCTTCCTGCCCCCTTTCACAGGCACTTGGAGGATTTACTCAGATGGCAGATGTCATCTTAGACCACAAGGTAAGGGTTAGGTAGGGCAGAACAATGGATCTGTGATGTGTGGTGTGATGGAATCATTATACAAGCCCCCCCCCCACAGCCTACCTCCAGACTTCTTTGACATTAGAAATAGATCTCAATTTGCGTCAGTTAGTGTTAGGTGAACTTCCAGCTCCTGCTGTCACTAAACCCAGCAGAGCAGTTAACTGTCTGAGCTAGGTGTGGTGTCACAGGCTGGTAATCTCAGCTACTTCAGAGGTCAGACAGAAGAATTGCAAGTTTGAGGCCTTCCTGGGCTATAGAGTGAGTTCAAGGTAGGTTGACTTCCTTAGTTACTATCTTGTTTGTTAGATTGTTTGGTTTTGAGACAGGTTTTCTCTCTGTAGCCCTGGTTGCCCTGAAACTTGCTCTGTAGAATTTACACCTTTGCCTCCCAAGTGCTGGGATTAAAGGTGTGTGCCACCATACCCAGCCTGAGCCTTTATGTTAAAAAAAAAAGTGCTGGTTTTGTGGCTCAGAGGTAGAGTACTTGCCTAAGATGACCTAGGTTCAATACCCGGTACTGAAGAAAAGATCTCAGCTTCAGTCCTCAATACTGATTAAAAGGATCTAGGTTCAAGCCCCAACACTGAATAAAGAAAAACGTGTCACCTGCTGTCAGCTTCCTGACTGTGATCCAGGAGCCAGGGAACTGGGCTGGGTCAAAGGGCTGGAGTTCATGTAGCTCTGTTGTCCTGTGAGCCTATGAAATGGGACAAGGGATAGAGGTGACCAGCACAGTGTCCTGGTGAAGAGCTTTGTGCAGGGCCCCATGAGACCTGTCTCCAGGGAGAAACAAAAGAGCTGCATTTACTTCCTGACAGAGGGCTGGTGAGGCAAAAACAGGCCCAGGCATAAAGACATCACAGTGCCTGGTCCGGTGGGCCCCTGCTTAGAACAGCTGCTGTGTAGCCTGAAGCATGCTTGTATTTCCTTATTGTGGCCTGGGCTTGGGTTTTAAATTGTGATATGATTGAAATCAGGCCAGTGTGGGCACAAAGACCTCCAAATCAGCTTCCTTGTTCATGCACTGTCCTAAAAAAGGTGTGCACTTGTGTTTGTGTGTGTGTGTGCGTGTGTGTGTATGTTGGTGTTGTGTATGTGTGTGTGTGGTGTGCATGTGTGTGTGTGTGTGTGTGTGTGTGTGTGTGTGCGCGCATGCTCTAAAGATGGAACCCAGAGCCTTTCACATGCTAGCAAAATACCCTACCATTGAGTTCTATCCCCAGGCCGGTTTTCACCTTTCATCTGGGGATAGGATCTCAATAAGTTACACAGACTAGTCTTGAAGTCTCTGTAGCCCAGGCAAGCCTCGAACTTGTGATCCCGTTGTTTCAGGTTTCCTATTAGCTGCAGTTTTCCTGTTTGCTTAATGGAAAGAGCTATGTACATACAGGGCAGAAAAGGCCACCGTACAGGAGGTTCTGCAGCGACTGGCTGACTTTTCCCTACACCTCATTCCTTCTGAGCCTCTTCCTGTTTTCCTAAAGTAAGTGAGTGCCCTTTTCTGTAGAAAGAGAAGCCGTCTGTCCCGATAGCTCTGTGCCTGTCACCAGCCAGGTAGACAGGAGTGAGGATTTCCTCCAGTAGCTAAACTAACACAAGGGACACTGGATGCCACAGAAGTATGGATGGGGAGCCATGGGATGAGGGCAGGTCCTGGGGCTGGCAAATGATAGCTGGTATTGTAAGAATGCCTTGGAACCGGGTGTGGTGGCATACACCCTTAATTTCAGTACCAGAAGGCAGAAACAAATGGATCTCTGAGTTTGAGGCAAGCCTGGTCTACATAGTGAGTTTTAGGGCAGCCAGGGGTATTTAGAAAGACCCTGTCTGGAAAACAAAAAACCAGGAAGAGTGGCTTGGAAAAGAGTCCCTCCCCCTCAGCATCAAAGGCAGCACACAGATGGCACAGGGCCAGCTTCCTGCTCTGGTTTGTGTTGTTTGAATCCCAGGCTGTCCAGAGCCAGCACACTGGTGCTTTTGTGAGCCTCCGAGCCTTCTAGAAGGTTCTGGTGCAGAGTAGAAAGGCCCAGATGTGCTCTCATGGGAGGTTCCTGGCACTGGCAGTGGGACTGCTAAGGGAGAATGCCCTTGCCCTGAAGGTGCCCAGGGTGGCAACTTCTATGGCACAGCAGACTTGCTTATGGTTTCTTCCAGTCATTCAGCAGCTTGCCGCTCTCTTCCTGCCTTTGCTGTGACTCTTGGTAGAACTCATGCAATACCGGGAACTTGTTCGACATTACTTTCTTTGCAGGTCATGAATATTGCCTGACAGTCAGATGCTGTGAGACAACTCCATGGGCAAGAACCTCATCTCAATGTCAGGCAGAGGGTGGAGGGGCTTACCATTTCTGGCCCCTGGTCTGTAGCTGCACAGAGGGAGCAATGTGAAGGTTTCATGGCATCTCCAAGCCAGGAGCCCTTATGATCCAGAGGAACAGTTGGGTTGAAGTTACCCAACTGTTGCAAGGGGGGGGGCATGTTTTAGGCATTACAAGAGCACTCAGAGAGGCCAGTGTCCTCAGGGCAGCTCTCCAGGCCCATCCATGGCAGACAGGGACAGAGGACTCATTGATGCTGATACTTGCAAGTGACCTGAGGGATGGGCCCCAGAAGGACTGGATAAGAGTTGACTTTTTTCAAGGCTCAGTTTAGTGTTTTTAAAACTGTCATATTGCTGGACATGATGGCGCATGCCTATAATTCCAGCATTCAGGAGGCTGAGGCTGGAGGATGAGGAGATGGCTCAGTAGGTAAAGTGCTTGCTGTGAACATATATGACCTGGTTTTGGGTCACTTAAGACCCACATCAAGCCAGGAATGATTTGTCAGTAATTCCTGTGCTTCTAAGGTGAGATGGGAGGTGGAGACAAGAGAATCCCCATAAGCTCTGGGACCAGCTAGCCAGGCATGTGCAGCAGTCGACAACAAAGAGACCCTCTCAAAAAAGGTGGCGTTTGAGGACTGATGTCCTAATGTTGTCCTATCACCTCCACTCATGCTCATTGTGTGCGCATACACACACACACACACACACACACACACACACACACACACACACACACACTGAAAAAGATGTAAGTCAAAGACTTCACTTTGAAGATAAGGAAAGAGAAGCGTGGGGAAATTAGGTGACATTGGTCACTGCTACTAACTCTTAGAGAAATGCAAACAGGTAAGGAATGGAGGTGCCAGACCTTTGCTTGGTGAGAGCACGTAAGCAGACCCTTCACCCTATTGCTGGCCAGTTCTCTTCCCTCCTGCCAGGTACAGCTTCTTGGAGCTCTTTAAAGTCTTTTCTTCCCAGCCCTCTCCGTCCTTAGGGAACTGCAGCCAGGTTCTACAGGTGAGACTTACCAAACCCAAAGAGCTCTGGGAGAGGGGAAAGGCAGGGTAGAAATGCTTGGGAGTAGAAGTGGAAACTTGAAAAACCACTCACCATGCTGCCTGTAGCTACTCCTCCCGGGTGGTCCTCTGCCTTCCTATGGAGACATGGAGCCTGGAGCTGTACTTGTGTCTCTCAGTGGCCTCATTCCATTCATGGGGCCACTCAGGGGTCCCAGACACAGCAAGTGGCCCATTCTCTGAAGCCTGGACTGGAAGTGTGGTTCCTAGCCCAGCTGTAGCACAGACCCTAGGAGATTGCCAAACATGGGATTCCAGCTACCTCCAGACTTACTGAGGACTTCTGTGCCAGCAAGACCCCAGGCAATTCCTCTGCAAGTCTGTTACTGTTGCTGCCCTTCCCTCCCAAGAGCTGTCTTCTGACATCGCTGGGCCAAGAATATGAGACCCAGCAGCTTCCCCCTCATAAATGGCAGCCTTCTGTTTCCTTAGAACTTTCAAAAATGCAGCCTAGTAAAACCAGATGTTCATATGAGAGAATGCTTGCTTTGTTGGACAAATACTCAAGCTCTTCAAGAAGCAGGTGCATATACAGTTGTCTGTTGGTCTGTGGAATTCCAGAATCATTCCCATCTCAAAACTGGGGATGCTCAAGTCTCTGGTATAAAACCCATGATTCTTAAGCCATCCTGCTTTATGCTTTAAAAGACACATCAATACCGAATGCAGTTTATATGTGGGGTCAGTAGGTACCATATTATATTGTTTAGGGAACAATGATAAGACAATATGTGCTCAGTACAGATGCAGTCTCCCCCTGCCACATATTTCTGATCTGAAGGTGGTTGAGTCCTCAGAGACAAGAGAGTCTACTGTTCTCAAAAGGCAAAGCAAAATACAGCATTTGATTACAGAGGTACCCCAAGGACCTCCCCAGTGTGTAAAGCTGTCTGATATCTATGCCATCAAGAACCCGAATGTCTTAAGTAAAGGCTAATTTATATCCATTCTTCCCAGACTACTCAGGGACAGAGGTTTGGGAGGTTTCTGTAATGTCAGAAAGGTTGAGGATACAAGTGTTCTAGAAAGTTCATGTATGGGCAGCAGTTATTCCCACCTCCCCACCCCGCCTCCCCCAATGCTGTCAGAAACATGAGCTTGCTGGTCTCCCAAATAACTGGTGACTTCCTCTCTGCCAACCCTTTCCCAGCCCAAGCATTTTGGTGGTTGCTGCTGACAGATGACAAAACAACACAGTAGTCAGAGTTGTTTTTTTAAACTTTTTTTCTTTTGGTTTGTTTTTAAAGAAACTGCATACATTATCAGAGAGAAACAATAATTTAAATACCATGCAGTTTCTGTATGTACAAAACCTAGGCCACAGAGATCCAGTTTAGTTTATATTCTATGTACAGCATCTTCCTCATACAGCCGTCATCTGTTAAGTTAGAACCCTGGAGGGCACGGGGTCAAAGGTCACCACACTCACTCACTCCTATACAAAGACGAACTATGTACAGACACCAGGAAGCAACTGGAAGAAAGCAACCTGCTTGGGGAGGAAGAGACTCATGGGAGGAAGAAGTCATCGAAGGTGACCCCTGCCCACTGACTGTGTACAGGGAGAGTCCGGGACCCCATTCATCAAAGCGACACACCACGATGCTCATTCCGAAAGTACAAACACATTGTTCATAAGCAGGGGAAAAAGAAGTTGAGAACATCTCCTCATATGGACCATTGCATTGTTTGGTTTCTCTACCTGGAAGAAAGGCTCACATTCTAAAAACCTGACGGGCCTCTCAGAGCATCTGGGGACAAAGCCATCAGGACGTTGGAAAAGCCAGTTTGCCAATGGCAGGCTCTTCTCCCAGGAAGCGAACCTGGGATGGGGTCTTCAGCAATGCCTGGTTTTGAGAAGGAACAAGAGTTGACACATTTCCAGTTCCCCCCTTTCTTGCTAACCTGAACCCCATGGTGCTCAGATGGGAATGTGTAGGCTCAAGATGAACTCACTTGAGAACTGCAGCTTTTCCAGAAAGGGATGGTTAAAGCCATATGGTTCACCTTATTCCCCCCTCATTAATGTCAAATTGTCACCTCTGGAAACAATTCGAGTCACTTCAGTTATCCTATCAAAGTGGGGGGAAAGGTGGTTACAGCTCCCTAAAGACCCAAGGCTTTCAGAAGGAGAAGGCAAGTGCCATCCCACAGCTGGGGAGGCTGCTGAGCCTGGGTAGGAACCACTTGTCATGGCCTTGAAATAGCTGATCCCCAAAGGAGGTGACCTCTTAGGAGCATGTGAGGCACACCCCTAACTCTGAGCAAGTGACTTCTGCAAAAGGGGGCCCTACAAGAAGTGATGTGGGCATTGTGTCCAACTTCTTCCATAGAGAGAGAGGAGGGCAACTCCAGGGCATGCTGAGGTGCCTGTACAGCAGCAGAGCAATAGAAGACTTTGGGACTTCTGTTCCCAGGCAATCAGAAGGGTCCCAGAACCAAGGCCAGCAGGGAAGCCAAGGCGTTCCTTAGGACTCCTCCTGACTGGGAAAGGCCTGTCTGTCAGTCCAGGACACCACAGCAGCCTGAAGCACAGCTGCTGTTTAGAGGAAGTGTAGCCCTCAGGCCTGGCCAGGCAGGACCTCCACCCAGGACATGTGTCTACTCTCCACCCTAGGGAAGTTCAAGGAAAGAGTTCTGCATCTTGCTCCTACCCTGTGCACATTCAAAAGTCAGTAAGACTTTCTAGAAGATTGTGTTTACACCCACACTAAAATCCCTGCTATGTTTTCCCTGAATACCCCTCTGGACATTCAAATAATAATAATAGTAATAATAATAATAATAGAAAGATCCAGTGACGGTGGTGTCTTTGAGCTGAACAGAGGTGTGCTTGGTCCAGATGGTTCCAGGAGGGCAGCAGCTTTATGGCGCTACCTGTAGGGCCGATCTAAGCTTTCCTTTACCTCTGCCTGGTTTCTGGGTTAGCAACTGGCCATGGAGACATTAATGCTCCAGAAAATTACATGATCTCACTGATAGGTGCTGTGTCCTAAGAGTGACATGGTCCCAACTGGTTTGACAAGGGGATATCTTTTGGGGGCTGACCAGAATGTCTAGCTGACATCTTTTAAAATCCTGGGTGTGTTGGATGGGGAATCAGCCATCACCTAGTGAAACCATGGTGACTCTGAAGGCTGGGGTGCACCACAGGGATGGAGGCAGAGCTTATCACACAAGAGCCTGTGAGCTCCACTAGGAAGGAAAACAGTGCTGTGGCAGGCCTCCGTAGGGTCTGGGGTGTCCTTCCCTCAGCGTAACCCAACCCTTGGAGGCCCTGTCAACAGGGCAGCTGGAGGCACACCCCAAGAAAGAGATGTGGGGGGGGGGCTCCGGGTAAGAGGAGCAGCAAGGGACACCATAGACAGCCATGGCTGGCAAAGTTTTGCTCAGTGCTAGCCCTGCTAGGATGTGATCTTTCTGCAGAAACTCTTCAGAGAACAGACAGAAGAGTGGAAGGCCCTGGAGAGTCACAGGGACATTGGTGCCCAGCTCTGGTCTCCATGTACTCGAAGCTGTTAAAACTGCCAAACCACAGCTTCACTGTCTCAGAGGTGTCCCAAGGCCAATGAAAAGCACAGGTCACGTGGAGTTTCTGACCCCAGCCTCTGGTCAGCTCATACTCATGAATACCACAGGGAACCTTAGCAATGGCATTTATGTGTGGATCACGCACGGCCCCGGGCTTTCCAAACATAAGCTGGTCAATGAATGCGAGCTGGACAGGCAGCCACCATTCCTCACTTTTCTGGAGAGCAGTTCTGTTCGGGCTGGGGGTCAAGTTAGATGCTCAGTTTCGGCCTCCTCTGCCCACAACATACATGCTTAGGATCAGAGTGCCAGCACAGGCTTCCCCAGGACAAGGCTGAAGAGAAAGTGTGTGTGTATGGGGGTGACAACTGAGAGGTCTTCCCCCCTTCCTCCTCTCAAGGGCCCCCAAAGTGAATGCCCCGTCTGGAGTCTGTCTAGGGTAGCTGGATTAGGATTTTACCCATCCACTCCCATGCCAAACCCCCTGCCCTTGGACTCAGGTGATAGTCCCCTGTGAGGAAGGGGTTCATTGAAGACTGAACCAATGTGGTGCGTGCTGGCTGGCAGGGGGGGGAGGGTCACAAGGCAGTCTCTGGACAGTGTTCAGGTAGAGCCCTGCTGGGGGCGGGGACACCTTTCTGTAGCAGAAGTGGCGCCAGCAACTTTGACTGAGGAGTAGTCACCATGGTGTTCCTGCACATAGAATCCTGATTGTGTTTCCCTTTGTTTCTTCTTCTTTCTTCTTTTCTTTCTTCTTCTTTTTTTTTTAAAAAAAGGCAGTTCAGATTTACATCATAATGGGGAAGTGGACAAACGCCAGCACTTATGGTTCTCATAAATTTATGTTTTGAAGACAGCAGAGCACTCAAAGGTAATCTCACTCTTAAGGTCGATGAAACCTGGGAAACAAGAAACTTCATCAAGGTCTAGGGGACGTCGGAGGCCCCATCCCACAACAGCATCTTTTCATTCTCACATACCCTGCTTGTGACACCGATACTCCAGTGTGACCTCCCATCCATGACACAAACACAAAGGGGCAACCCCAAGTATCTGAGCTCCACAGATTTTACCTAGGGACCAGACAAAGTTTAACTTGGAGACTTTGGAGGCTAAACCTGGGTGGCTGCACTTGGGCTCCTGCATGGCAGTGAGATGGAGGTCCTACCAGTGCGTCTGAGTCAGGCAGTATGCACACCGACAAGTCCCTGTTTCCCCACGTGCTCTCCAAAGGGGGCTGATTAGAAAAACTAAGCCAGTGGCTTAGTAGCTAACTGGCCATGCATACACCTCACATAATGAATTCTTTCTGTGTCTCATTTTTCCCAAGCAACATCATCAGACAGGACTGCTTGGTAGAGGAATGTAGGCAGCACACTCTTTAGTGGTCCCATGTGGTATTTTGGTATTCTGCCCAGGTTTGGTCTCTGCTGACTATAAGTTGAGAACACTCTTAACACCTCAGCTTCCGTTTTTTTTTTTTTAATTAAAAACTCCTCTGGGGTCCTTCAACTTGTGTCAGTTTTCACCTGAATGAATTAAGAAACAGAGGGTGACTTTTTGTGTGGGCCTTAAATATTTTAATATTCTTTCCCTGAGGTTTTGTTTTTCTAACCCTTTTTTGTTGTTGTTTTTGTTTTGAGGCAGAGTCTAACTGTGGAGCACTAGCTGGCCTGCAACTCCCTATGTAGACAAGGCTGGCCCTGAACTCAACAGAGACTCATCCACATTTGCCTCCCTGGTGAGGGACTAATGGTGTATGTCCGCACACAGGGCCTCATTGCCCTCTTGTTACCAACTTAAAGGTAAAACTTGTCATTGATCTCTGTCTTATCATCTATCATCTTACCTACAAAACCACTTGGTAATCCGGGGGCAAATGGGTATTTGTATGAAAGTAAATACTGACAGAGTGAGCATATCTGCAAAGCCATCATCCAAGAGGCTGAGGCAGGAGGATTGCTCTAAGTTCCTGGCCAGTCTGGGCTACGTAGTAAGAACCAAGCCAGCTGGGTCTCTGATAAAAATAAAGTAACAGTGAAAAAGGGAAAACAAACATTGCTGTGGGGGACATTCAAGGTGGACCCCATCAATGCCAACCTTGTCAAGTGTCTGCTTAACTCGTGGGTGGATCCCATCGGTACCAACATGGTCAAGTGTCTATTTAACTCAAGGTGGACCCCATCAATGCCAACCTTGTCCAGTATGTACTTAACTAATGGGTGGATCCCATCAGTACCAACCTGGTCAAGTGTCTACTTAATTCGTGGACTTCCATTTCAGTGCTTTTAAACTCATTGAGTTCCTTCCGGATGGCAGCCTGGAAGAGTAGTAGCTGGTCAGTGTGCTGAAGAAGCAGGAAGGCCTCCCCCTTTGTCATACCTAAAACACTTTTGTTCTCACACACAACTACATAAAAAAGCCACCAGGGGTATCCTTTAAAACTTTCCAGGATTTCTTTTCTTTGGGGATACCATGAGGTTCTAATGGAGCTGGCTATATTCTATGAGGTCTCTGTGCCCCCTGCTTCTCACGGGGGTTCAGATAGCACACAGTGACTTTGGCATCTCCTCTCTTTTGCAGTTCTGCTGGGTGCCTGGGAAGGTGTCTTGACACAGAGAGCCAGTGATAAGTCTGGGGCTCATGTTAAGAATGGCTTTGGGCCCAGTCCAGTGTTATTCTGTCTGTCTGGGCCCAGTCCCCTGACATGCTATGGTAAAAACTGAAGGATCCTGGGTTGGAATGCTACTTCTTACTGCCACAGTCCTGAGTGGTGGGGACCTTTCAGAGGCAACCTGGTTGTTAAGGGGGACCAACGCCTCTATAGGGATGTGATCAGTTAAACAGGAGGAGCAGGCTGTTACAAAGTAAGATGTCTTCTTACACTTTCTCTCTAGCATGTGTCTCTCTCCCTGACTTAAGTCCCATTAGGAAGCAGCATGAGGTTCTCACCAGATGAGACCACCTGACCTTGGGTTTTCTGGCTTCCAGAATCTTTAGCCTTTAAATAACCTTTCTATATAAAATTAGGAAGCCTCAAATGTTCTGTTACAGCCCCAGCAAATAGACCAAGATTCTGTCTCTGCTCCTTCTGAGAAACAGGCACAGTATCTTCTGTGCCTTTTCCAAGTGAAGAACCAATGGCGTGGCTTCCCACAGGTCACCGGGAGCGCTCATGAGAGCAGCATTTTCAGGGTGGGGCCAAGGCAGGGCTCCGCTTTCCTGACATAAAATGCCAGCCTCCCCTTCCTCAACACGCCCGCTTACTTTGTCAGCAGCTGTGAGGCGGGTCCATGGCTTGTCTGCTCTGCGGTCATAGTCCTGGGCATCTGCTACCTCCACGTAGTCACTGAACCGAATGAGGATCTTCCTCTCCCGAAGTTCTTCCACTGTGGGCCTTTGACTGAGCTGTAAGGAGGGAGAAAGCGGGGCCCAGTCAACAGAGGGCTTTAGACCGCGGTTTCACTTGGGAACTTGTAGGTGTGGAAAGTGAGTTCAGGAAGACAACTGATATGTTATACAGCAAGATGGAGTCGGGGGCAGAACCAAAGTGCTCAACTCCGGGATTCTGAGAGCTTCATTGTCCCGTTCAACCTCTCAGGCTTATGCAGATGACAACAGCCTGTCCTATATCATCCTGCTTTCTTGGCCTGATAGGAAGCCTGGTTGTCTGTGTACTACAGTGTGGGTGTCTACTGCGGATTTTCTGTCTGTCCTTCACCCCGTGGGAGGCAAGCACCTTAAGCAACGACTCTGTCTAAATTTGCATTGTTGAGTCCATATCTCCGTCTTAAATTTGATGCTGTTTGCAGAATGGGTTTGTAACACATTATATGTGTGTGTGCACGTACAGATCATGTATATATATATACCCATATGTGTCTACAGACACACACATATGCCCGAGTGTTTTAGACGTAGAGAAGAGCACTTGCCAATGGTGTGCAGCCTCTGGAGGGTGAGGGGGTGGGATATGTTGATTTAGGAATTTCTGGTGTTTTTCTCAGAAGATCAGCTGTAAGTTTAGTGAACCAATGCAGAGCTGAGCAATGCCACAATTATGCCATGGAGAACAAACTTTGTGAGGAAAGAGGAATAAAATCCTGCTTATTTATCTCCCTCCTGGTATTCTCACTGAGCACCCTTCCTCTGTCCCTTAACAACATAAAGCTGACATTTCTATTATCTTTCCTGTCACAAGCTTATTTCTTCTGGAGCAACACTCTCTTTACAATGCTGTCAAGTCATGTTCAACCAATGTTACTTAAAAACAATTTTCCTCTGAGCCCTAGAATGTCGACTGCTATTATTAGAAGAGGCAGTCAGATAAAGTCTTACAACTCTGGTCTATAAAACAAACAACAAATTCAAATTACTCTGGCTGTTTTGACTGCCACGCAGCTGTCTTCCTGATGCCCTTGGCTGGAGATGGAATGTTCCAGCCTGCTGTTGCCATGGCACAATGAGATGCCATCTTGCTGCCATTAAACAGAGAGGCTCCCGGGGGCAGCCACAAGGGTAGGACTAAGTAGGCCTGTGGCTCCCTTTTGGCTAAAGGAGGAAGTTCCAGGGATCAGAAGCCTAATGATTGTGGAACTGATCCATGTCTAGACTGGTAGTGTTTTTAGTCTGTGCTGAGGCACCAGGCATTTTTAAGGGCTAGACACTTTGGCATCCATGCTGCTTGTCATAAGAAAGTATAGTTTCCCATGCTCTGTGGCCAAGGTTGCTGGAAATGAAAAAGATGGCCATCTTGGCATCAAAGTGTTCTTTCTGAAATATTGAAACTGACAGAATTTAAAAATAAAAGGAAACATTTCATTTTTGCCACATTCACACCAGATAAACAGAATCAAACTCTCCAATTTGTGGTTTCCTATCCAGTTACCTCAGGATGTTAGATGAGCAGTGTTAATGTCTGATGTGTGCTACATCCCAAGCAGGGGCTCTAAGCCATGACTTCTGGATTTATCTTCCTGGAAACCACACACGAGGCTAGCTGGGTGTAGTGTTTCACATCTTCAATCTCAGTACTCAGGAGGCTAAGGCAAAAGGATCTAGAGTTCAAGACCAGCCCGGGCTACATGGTGAATTCAGGGCTAGTTTGGGCTTTCTAACAAGAGACTATCTGCTCCCTCCCCTGCTTCAGAAAAGTAAATGAATAAGTAGAGAAATCATGATTTAGAGTTTACTAGTTGCCCATCTAACAGCAGAATCTGGAGAGAAGACTTGATGATGGAGGTGCTCAAGGGCAGGGGTGATGGAAGTGTTCAAGGCAGGGATGATGGAAATGTTCAAGGACAGGGATGCTGGAGGGGCTCAAGGCAGGGATGCTGGAAATGTTCAAGGCAGGGATGCTGGAGGGGCTCAAGGCAGGGATGCTGGAAGAGCTCAAGGCAGGGATGCTGGAGGGGCTCAAGGCAGGGATGCTGGAGGGGCTCAAGGACAGGGGTGATGGAAATGTTCAAGGCAGGGATGCTGGAGGGGCTCAAGGACAGGGGCTGCTTTTCATGGCCCCAATCCTGTGTTACTCTCACCTAAATCAAATCAGCATGGTATTGTGCTCATGTTCTGGGAGGGGACAAGTAAGGACGGTACAGATTGTTGTGTTGGGGGTCTTGGGTGGAATGTGGACCCAAATACTAGTCAGAATCTTCCAGAACTCTCTTCCATGTGTGCACACCTCACCATTAATACCCAAAGCCCAAGGTCCTCTCTAGATGCTGAGAAGATAATCTTTGTGGATAAAGTCCAGTTTTCTGAGGAAGATGGATTGAGAGAATGGGAAAGAAGTAGCATTTATATTAATCTGTGCCAGCAGTATCATGTGCAACCAAACATTTGAAAAAAAAATGAGCCAATTGAGATCCAAATTCCACTGAAATACAACCTAAACCCCAAGTTTACCCCTTCCCCTCCTCCCATCATGTAAGCTTTCAGTTAGGTTGCTGCCCTTTCTTAGGGTTTGTGGTGGAGGGGATGGTGGAGGACAAGGGAGGAGAACACTGTCTCTGTGCTACATCTCCAACACTTAATTGTTGTTTTGAGAAGAGAGGCATTTATTTCTAGCATATAATTTTTATGTTTTCAATTTAGTTAAACAAATGATGTGGTCTGTTGTTATCAACACCAGCCCCTCGGTTTTAGTTTTCACTAGTACATTAAAATTCAATAGGATTTTATTAAGAAAATCAGGGCTGAGGCTATAAGCAGCCACCAGCCCTGGCATCTGGTTTTGGTACGAGAGAGGCTCAAGGGAAAAGAATTTGCCCAGAGCCAGGGCAGGCTGTGTGTTTCCCACCTACAGGTGGGCGCCAGTACTCTGCAGACCCAGGGAAATATTAAATTTCCGCTTCCACATTTCCCTCAGTCTCCTTCTGAAACAGTCATTCCTGCCCTCAAGGTCACTATTTTTACCTCCCCTTGGCAGGAAACTGGAAATGCTAGAATCACAGGGCCATTCCCCCTGGTGGGGGTGGGTGGGTGAGGGAGTCAGAAGGCGGAGGGTGGGGGGGTAGAGAGATACCAGGAAGTCAGGGAGGGGACAATGATGTTAACTGCAACATCTGGAGGCCATTTGTAGGTAAGATGGCAAGTATCGTCATCATGGGGGACAGAAGCGTGGGAAGCAAAGCTTTTGCACACCCTCTACTACTGCATTATGCAGTTACAGTCAAAGTTCTGTTTGCAAGAACATACAATCTTTTGATAAGAGATAAGAATTGACAGATACCTAAATACCACCCCCCCCCTTTTGAGGTAGGGTCTCACTATGTATCCCAGGTTGGTCTGGAACTTGTTACTGTACCCCAAGATTGCCTAAAACCCACAGCAGTTCCCTTGTCTCAGACTTCCAGAGTTCTGGGGTAATAAAAGGCACACACCGTCATGAGTAAGAGCCAAAGTCAGCCTATAAGTCCCTTTTGCCTAAGGACAAATTACTTCCTAGAATGCTTGGAAATGACAAGCCACATGTTTTATTCCCCTAAACAAGTGTGTTTGACCCATCTGCAATGGATGTGCTTGATCACATGTGGAGGTACGCAGGCAGGGAGTATGTCTGGATGTGGGCTTGCCCCTGATTGGACCTGATGGGAAATGTAATGAATTGTGGGTTTTGCCTTAAAAGGTGAAACAGGGTCACTAATTGGGATCCCAGAGTGAATCTGATCAGAGTCCATCCTGGTCAGTATTTAACCAAAATTTGCTTCAGATTTGACTCAAAATTGTGGAACTGGTTTTTCTCTCTTGAATCTCGGGACAAACACTTTCTCCCGAAGACTGGAGTTAGAGCCAAAGTGAGGGAGGTCACTCAGCTTCGATTCTCATCCCCCACTGTGTGATGCCAGCCAGACACCCCATCATCCAGGCCATTGTTTATCTTCCTTCCTTTAATTAGTTTGGCATTTGGCTTGCTACCAATGTTTGGGATAGTTTGGGGCAGAGAGAGTGTTGAGGAGTAGAAATTACTTCCTGAATAAGTGGCACGGCCTCTCAGGACCTCCAAATCCATCCTTTATGTAATGTTTCCAGGGGGAGAAGTCACTAATGAACATCTTTAGAATTAATTTTAATGGGTCTCTTCCTTCACCATCTCTAAGGCTGAGTATCCTTTTCTCAAGATGGCCACTGCAGGGGGCTGATTGAAAACACTGGGCAGACAGAGGTAGTGTTACATCCTGTGTGCCATCATTTCATTAAACTTTCAACAGGACCCAAGAATTAGTCAAGGCTTTTTTTTCTTCTGTTCAAGAAGCCACTTGAGTTAAGAAGATCTGTGGGTCTATACAGCATGGCAATAGCCTCTATTTGGGAGTTAAAAACATAGTAAAAAACCCCAGCAGTATGAGTTTTAAATACTTTTCAGATATCTTCACTAAATGGATCAGTACATTTTTAAAAAAATTTCTCTGGTAATATGGTGTTTTCCTGACCCAGTAATTCCAACTGAATTTAGAAGCAGACAACCAAATGGTTCTTAAATTTCAACAGGTAGTAACGGGGAACAATGAAAGTTCATGATGCCCTACATAGCAAAAGCTACGATTTTTAACATTGTTTTGCTTTGGAGACAAAATGACCCGCAACTCATTCTGTGTAGCTCAGACTGGCCTTGAACTTGAGGTGATTTCAGCCTTATGAATGCTCAGATTACAGGCATGAGCCATCATGTCCATGTTGAAGTACTAAATTTCTTTGTTTGAGACAGGGTCTCACTATGTAGTTTTGGCTGACCTGGAACTCTATATGTAGACCAGGCTGGCCTTGAACTCACAGAAACCTGCCTGCCTCTGCCTCCTAAGTTCTGGGACTAAAGGTGTGCATCACTAAGCCTGGCTGGCAATTTTTTTCTTTTTGTTTGTCTGAGACAGAGTTTCTTTGTGTATCCCTGACTGTCCTAGAACTTGCTCTGTAGACCAGACTGGCCTTGAACTTACAGAGATCTGCCTGCCTCTGCCTCCCAAGTGCTGGGATTAGATGCATGAGACACCCCTGCTCAGCCTCCTGACAATTTGCTTATTTGTTGAACTACTGATTTATATAATGAGTTTCCAGTGGTGTGGTAGGGTTAAAATATGTATAACATAGTTTTTTAAAACTTAACTTTTGTTTTTACTCATTTACTCATTTTATGTGCATGGGTGTTTTATCTGCAGATATATCATGTGTGTTCCTGGAGCCCACAGATGCCTGCAGAGGATGGTGGCTCCCTTGGGACTGGAGTTACAGCTGAGCTGACCATTGTCCCCAAGAAAGGTATTTGGGGTCTGAGCACTCCAGATGCTTCAAATCCCCCCAAGGCTCCTAGAAGCCAAGGTGTGTGAGCAGCTCTAGGCATGGGGAAGCGCCTTACCTTGCGAGTCAGCCTCCTCTTAATTTCACGCTTCTCCTCCTGCTCTTCTTGTTCATTCCGAGCTGAAAACATATAGAAGATGCTCCTGATTTACTGTGCATGGTATCACCCACGCCCAAGTGACCCTCTGAGCTTTTGCAGGCTCTAGTCCGTGCGCTTAGGTCCCATTCCCTGGCTATGCTTGAAAGGACTTGTCTTCATCTTCCTGCATCCTTTTAAATTAATTGGTGGGGAGTGAACTGACTAAACTTTTTTTGCATTGTTGTTCTCTTTATGTCTGGGCTTGGGGCCCAGGCAGAGATGCTCAGATGAGCATATGACTATAAGCTGAGGAGGTATGTGGGAACACTCCTGGCAGTGACAAGCATTTAGGGAGAATCAGGATGTCTTCCTTGAGAAAGGTGTAAACCTCATGTCTCTTAGAGCCTCTCAGAGACTTAAAGGGCTCATTGTGTGTGGTCCTAGTGACCGGAGCCCCGTAGGGCAGGTGAGAAGACATGCCTCCACCTGCCACAAGAATGACATGGGACAGAGTCAACAGCCACCTGAAAGGCCACTAGCAGTGACTTCAGAGCCCTCATTTCACCAATTCTTTAAATCTTCCAAGATCTCCACAGAATCTGTGTGAGGCCAGAGTGTGGAATCCAAGTGCTCGCATTTGGGTTTGGAAGCAGTGTCTTAGGAGTACACTGTAGAGACTAAATTTTCCCCTATCAATATACAGACAACTGACTTGTCTGAGTTTAAAGAGCCATGGTAAGGGTCTGGGGAAGGGGACAGAAGAAGGGCAGAAGCTTTGGGCCTTTTCTCTGTCTGGACTAACAGAATGACCACAAGCAGACCATTATTTACCTTCTGCACCTTGGAAGGATTCCCTGTTCTCTGTGGAAGCACACTCATCAACAAGGTACCATCTGATTTGAAAAATACCATGAACGCCAACTAATGTCACAGAAGGCATGAGCTCCTCAGCCATGGGCTTAGGAAAGCGTCAGCAAAAGGAAACTATGGGTTGATTTGGGCACAGTGTCCATTAAGCTTGCCCGGGATACCTACATTCTCATTTTGTAGTTGTGGTTGTCAAGTAATGTTTCTGCAACTTTATTATCATGGTCCATGGTTATAATTTGGTTGTGGATTCTGAAGGTCTCAGTGTAGGGTAGGTCTTTCAGAGAAAGAAATCCCAGTGCATAGGAAATGAGATAGGGAGTGTGTAATTAATAGTCCCACTTTCCCCTCTTGCCACCTAGGAAGTCAGCAACAGACAGTGACAGCCAGCTCTGACCAAAGGTTGGCGACAACCTTTTCTACCAACAAATGGTGATGATTCAGAGCAGGACTAAGAGCCCTGAGTGGCACTCCCAGGATATGATTTTGTGTTCCTGCCTACCTGTGGGTCCTCTTGTGTAATGGGCCATGACAGCCTCCACAGTGCCCTTACCCACCACGAATGCCCCTTCCTTTGGCTTTAACAACCCTATTTCTTTCCTGGACTTTCCCTAAAAAACACACATTTCTTTTAGCTAAAAACCTATAATAGCCATTATTATCTTAGTATGAATTAACCTATCACAGAAATATTGGCAAGCAAGACTCAGAAGAAGGGAACCCTGAAGACTGACATAAAAATGTAAATTGCTTTTTGATAAAATCTGGGAAAGTAGCCAGTGGTTAACATCTTAGTATAAACCAGTCTATCCATATTCAGTGTGGAGGCAGACCCCAGGCAGCCTTGCAGGGGGAAGGAAGGATAGAAGGAAGGTAGTCTTGCAGTCTGTCATAGATGTAGCTTGAGGGCTCCATGTTGAAATTTAGAGACCATGTAGGCTACCACTCTGGGTTTCCAAATGAAGCCACGAAAACCCCAGGGGATGAAGCCACCAGCCACACCTGACACGGCTCACCACTCAAACAGTTCAGACCTCTGCTTTTTCCTGTTGTCACAAGTTGCTTGAGGCTGGTCCTCCTTCTCATTCCTGGGCCTGACCTCACTCCTGACCTACAGGCCCCTTCCGAGCCATGAGGATGGGTGTTCTGTACCAGAGATGATACAGCACAGGGGCCTTCATCTCTTACGTGGGTTCTTAGGCCCTCAGAGGTGCGGGTCATAAACTACCACCTATGCTGCCCATATCATTAGCTCAAAGCCATTTACAGACCCAGTGTCATGAATTCTCAGGCAGAGGATGCCAAGGCAATCCCACTAGGCAACTGAGAAAAGAGGCTACAAAAGTCTGCTGATGTCATCGTCATGGTACCCACTTGCCAGAGTTCATTATGTGCTCAGATGCATAGGGGGCCTCACTGGCTACAGAAGAAAGAGAGGGTTTGCTTACAAGCCTGGGCAGGGTGGGACTTTGGAGCAAGTCCAGCTTCTGCCTCCTCTCATTTCCCAGCATCTCTCCCAGTTTAAAGCCCAGAAGATAAGTTTTAGATCTGATTGTTTGGGGGGAATGTTTTTGAATACCATTTGACATTTCTTAGGTAATAATAGGTACGGGGTGTGGGGACACATGCAATCCTGGCACCGTAGAGGAAGGGGAGGGATTCAGGAGCTCAAAGTCACCCTCGGATATATATCAAGTTTAAGGCCAGCCCGGGCTACAGGAGACAAACAAACAAGCAAACAAAACAAAGCTAGAAGAGAAAAATACTCCTCCCTCCAATAAAAACAAGTCCAACAAAAATTTTGATTAAATAATAAACGGAAGACAAATTTAGAAAGACAAAGGAACAACACACAGGGAAAGCAGGTCCATTTCTAAAAGGTTTGGCAATCGAGATAATCTATTGGAATTTGGTTAAATGGAGCCTGAGTTTGTAGCTATTTTATCAGGAAAATGTAGAAGAAATTTGATAAAACACAGGACAACCACACAGATTCCCTTTTAGTCTCCCTGAGTTGGTTAGACTCAAAGAAGCCACAGCAAAACAGAAAACTATCTAATAGACAAAAACCAGTGCCAGGTGTCTGGCTGTGATGTTCTGGGATCTGGGCCAACCAGAGGTGGGAGCCAGATGTGAGTGGAGGAGGGGGTCATCTCTCCCTGAGCGTCGCTGCTGCTGAGGGATACAATATTTACAGAAACCAAAGCAAGGGCCAGGTAGTCTTGGTGCTCCTAGTTCAAAGCTCAGGACAGCTGCAGTGGAGGAGTGGAGGAAGCGTTTTATCTGATCTCTGATTTGAGGTATCAAGAGCTCCCTACTCTACTTTTCAATTCTCAACAATGGAAACTTTATAATAGACCAGATGTCTGCGTGGGGCAACAGGAAACATCCCAAGGGCCAAGACTTGCCCAACTGACAGTTCTATGCCATCTATTGTACATCAGAATACATTTAGACACTTTTGTCTTGAGACAGGTTCTTGCTGTGTAGCCTAGGTTGGCTAGAACTTGAAGTCTGCCAGTTGTACGAACACTCGAGTGCTGGGATTACAGATATGTGTCACCATATTCCCGCAAACTGTGAAACTCTGAAGGACACTCACTGGTTTAAAGGTAAGTTAGGGCTGGTGAGATGGTTCAGTGCCTAAAGTGCTTGCTACTGAGCCTGACAGCCCGAGTTTAATCCCCTGGACTCACTCGGAGCAAGGGGAGAGGGACTCCTGAAAGTTGACCTCTGACCTCTGACCTCCACACAAGTCTTATGGCATAGCCCCTCCCCACCAATCAATTAAATGAATGTAAGAGAAAAAAATTCTACACACAACCCCCAGACACCTCACTGTTCTGTAAGGCTTACTCTAGACCTCAGGCTGGGCTTGAGACCAGCCTGCTCTGAGTTTGGGAAGGTAACGGTTGCCTTGGAGAAAGAATGCAGGACTCTCAGACAGGCAAACTAATGGGCGCCTACAGGGGCTGCAGAGCCTGTCACAACCTTCCCAGGCAAAATGCAACATCCTCCCGCAGCAAATCACTGAATGCTGGCCAGGTCACAAGACCATCGGGAGGAGGGGTAGAGAAGTGCAATCAGAATGAAATTATTTAAGTGGAAATATCCAGTTGCCTAGAGCAAAGTCTCATGTGATGTGTGTATACACACACACATATCTATAAGACACTTCCTAATATCTAATTCTTTTTTTTTTCTGGAGAGAAATTAGAAGGACTTTTGGGGGTTAGGGAAAAAGAAATCACCTATTAAAGTAAACATACTTGTTGGTTGTGTTGAGGAAACGGTGGGTAAGGATGACAGCAAGGGTCTGGTGGGTGTGGTTTGATCTGTAAAACTTACTGAATATCTTCTGCTAAACTGAGGCATATAGGGGTCTGTGGAATGCTGCTTTTTTTCACTATTTCGTATTCTTTGTCTTAGTACCAAGTGGATTCTCTGTACAAATTCAAATACACTCTGTGTCCTGAGATGAACAAGGGGCCCATTTTTTCCCTGTTCACAGCTTTCCGTGAATGAGAGAGTCATGCAAGCATGCCGCTGGCTAGGCCAGTCTCAGGACCAGGATGAATGCTCACTCGGCACTGCTTTCTCCCACTGCAAAGCTGTTGCTCAGGGGGCTGACTTCCACCAACAGCAGCCAATTGATTCCCAGCCCTCACACATTCAAATTTCGCTTACACTAGCCATCAAAGCCCAAGTCGCTGGTTTAAAGCCAGTTGGGTCTAAGCGGGACACCTTAAAGTCACTCCTTTCTGGTAAGTGCCTCAGTTTGATTTCTTCTCTTACTCAGGGTGGGTTCTGGTTTCAACCTGGGATTTCCTAACCCATAACCGAGAGGTCAGTGGCATACATTGTCCCCAATTTTCCAGAAGCAGCCTTGGTTTCTATGAGGCTTCCTGCTGGAGAGGCTTTCAGCCCTTCCATGGGCCCCTGGGAGAGACCTGGTAAGCCACTATGTGGCTACCAGGAAGACTGCCTTAAATGTATGGTCACCCTGGCCTTAGTCAACTTACGTTTCAGAATGTTCCTCTGCTCCAGTTCCTCTGCTGTGGGTCTCTGGCTCAGCCGCCTACGAAAAAAATCCAGGAAAAGTTTTTGGACCATGTCATATCCTTCTGGGGTTGGTGATCTCCACGACCCCAGCAGATACATCAGGCAGAGTCAGCAGCTGGAGTCCTCTGTCCATCCTGTGTTCTGAGACTCTGACTTGCTGCCAGCGCTTCCTCGGTTCCTCAATTTCAAGCCCAGGAAGGGCACCCTGCGTCAGGTCACGCAAAGCTGCCCTCCCTCCTTCTCTAGGCCCCTCCCTGGTCCTGCTCCTCCAGTGCCCCCAGGCCAGGAGACCGAAACTTCGCTGGGCCTTTCCTCTTCACAGAAGTCCCTTTCTTTCCTTGTAGCCTCTGGACTGCAGGGCTGTGCGGCCTCTTGCCTTTCTCTCTCTGCCTCCAGGCAAGCTCGTGCTTCTCACTACCTTTGTACACACCCAGAACCCAGAGGCCTGTGGCCTGGAGGACATGCGAGAGAGGGTGTCTGTCTGCAGAGAACAATGGCTACTCTTCTTCCTGTCTCCACCCATCCCCACCAGAGCCTTATTAGACATAGAATGCCAGATGAGCAGGCACAGAAATGACTCCTATTACCGGGTGCATAATTAAGTCATAGAGAATGCGGCGTCATAGCAGGGGCAGGAACTTCTGATGGGGCCGTGCGGAGGAGGAGGGACAAGCACTGGTGACAGGTAGTGACAGAAGCCACTAGAGACCCACATACTTAGACACCTACATAAAGTTCTAGGGCTGGGCATGGGGTAGATATCACACACAGTGGACCTGATTGAGCAGCGACATTTTTGATTTTCATTGAAAAACCCTGCAGTTACTCAGTATATCTGCTTTACCCACTAGGTATTGATATGGTGTGTGTGAGGTGAGTATTGCGGAAGGAATTCTAGGCTCCTCAAGAGTCTTCTGGAACATAATTGGTAGAAAGGCACACTTTTCCTAATCGTACAGTTGTAATCAAATTTCTGAAACTGAGGTCTGTAGATGGAGAGATGTTTCCAGCATGAAGTCTTAGGAGGGACCCAGGATGTAAGAAAGTTGTCAGGATCAAGATGGAGTTGCTTTGGATCTTGCTGTAGCAACAAGGCTAGCTGGATGCTATGGAGACTGCAAAAATCACAACCCTATACAAAGGTACCACAGATCTCTATAAGGATGTCTTCCCAACTGTGTATTCAGTGTCAGATATACAACCTTGCTATGTATTCTTGCATGGGCCAAAGCTTCTTATTTTAAAGTCTAATAAGCAGTTTGCACTTGCCTTTAAAATCTTTCCCCTGCCTCCACTGCCTTCAATGTCACAGTTCACCATGGCATCTATGTTTTCACTGCAACCGTTCTGCTATTCCCAAATAAGTAACATTATTGTTTGGTGACTCTGATTGTTTATTTAGGCTGACAAGTGCACTATAAAATCTGTGGAGCCTCCAAGTATTACTATTTCAAATTCAAGTCTTGTTATTTGTGAGCCTGACAGTACCTTGAAACTGTAAGAAACTGTATTCTACAGTGTTTTCAAGTTTGTAAGACCATTTTCACATTTCTTATTTTTCTCTGTAAAACATCTCTGTAATATACTATGAAGGAGATATGGTCTTTGATCCTATTTTTTAACAAGGAGTTCGTGAACCCCTGGGACTTCCTACCACAGATAACCTGAATCCTCTGGAACTTTGATTTTACAAATGAGTTCCTTCAGATCATATCTGAATTTATGCTAATGAGACAAGCTAGTATGGGGGACTGGCCACTAGAAAGACCAGGTGATTGGAAGGTTGAAGCTCATGAAAACTTAACAATGAGATCCAATGTGTAACATGAATAGTGAAAACCCAGAGACAGATGTTGGGGTTCAAGCTGACGGTCAGATAAGCAAAGCACCCCGCCAGTAGCTGTCACCTCTACCCCAGACTGAAAGGGTGATCCAGCTAGCTCCACAAATCCCCAGACTGCAGTCCTAGACTTCTGCCTTTCCTCCACATGGCTAGAGAATAATTCTTCTATGAGACCCTTTGCCTTTTCCTTTTATACCCCCCTCGTGCTGGGATTAAAGGCGTTGGATCCCAAGTGCTGAGATCACCTTTGTGTGAACTGTTTCTCTCTAGGACTGAATTAATTTCATGTAGCTCAGTGTGGCCTTGAACTAACAGAGATCCATTTGCCTGACTCTTGAGTCCTGGGATTAAACGTGTGTGCTACCACTACCTGGCTCTATGGCTTCCTAGTATGGCTGCTGGGGTTAAAGGTGTATATCACCATTGCCTGACCTCTATGACTTGTGGCTAGATTTGTTTTCTGAACCTTTAGGCAAGCTTTAATAAATCATAAATAATGTACCACCACACCAATGAGCTTCTAGGTTGCTGGACTCCTGAAGGAGCCTTCTAACCCTTTCCCCCACCCATTTCTCCATCTAACCGTTCACCCATATTCCATTTTTCTTTTCACTACAAATAGATCAATATAAGTATGATGTTTCTGAGTATTGTAAGCCATTCTAGAAAATTAATCAAATATACACACTAAATAAATAAAATGTAGTAAAAAGATTGCTTGTAGAGATAATACTTTATTTTACAAGACTTGCCTCAAATAAGAAAGTTAACAACAATAGATGGACTGTAGTTGCTTACGGTCAAAGTGCTTGGCCTTTGTATTTAATGCTGTTAGCATTTCTTCCTTACCCCTAAACCAGAACAGTGCTCCCCAGAAAGCCCCCTTACAGTTTCAGTTACAAATAGGAAATTCTTTTTTTTTTTTTTTTTTTTTTGGTTTTTACGAGACAGGGTTTCTCTGTATTGTTTTGGAGGCTATCAGTCCAGCCCGGCCTCGAACTCACAGAGATCTGCCTGCCTCTGCCTCCCGAGTGCTGGGATTAAAGGCATGTGCCACCACCGCCCGGCTAACAAATAGGAAATTCTTAAACGGAAATAAGTAAACCAGTTCATACTTTTATGCTTAATTTCTAAACTGTGCTTTATCTTTTGATTGACTGTAAATTCTGCTCTTTTTGGAAGCCCACAGGATTAAACATATAGCCCTTGGAGATGCCTCTTCTTTTTCTATCTCTCAATTCATTTCTCTTCTCTCTTCTCCCCACCCTGTCGATCTCTCCACACATAGACAGACAGACAGACAGACAGACACACACACACACACACACACACACACACTCACACACTCAGGAGAATGCACACTTAAATCTAACATGTGTGGTCTCTAATATCTACTTAACAAACAAGTCGACCTCGCTGTACCTTGGCTCATTCTGAAATTCTTTTCTATGTGCTCAAGAACCAGTTTCATGGAGTGGAGACCCCCTGAGGAGGAACCCTGCTGGCTTTGGACTGAATTACTCCATCACCTTTGACGATATGGGCCACACATGGGGAACCGGGAATACTGGCAGCACTTTTTTCCTCTATTTTTTTTTTACTCTGCTTCCTTGTTTCTACAACACCACCAGTGGGTGCTGTGTATATAGATGTGATGTTTAATGCTGATTGTCAATTATCAGGATCTAGAGTCGCCTAGGAGACAAGCTCTGGCATGCCCAGTGAAGGATTATGTAGATTAGATTAGCCTCTGAGTATGCTTGTGAGGGATTAGCTGGATTAGCTAATTAGTTTGATTGACTGACAAGAAGATCCACCTTAATTATGGGTGGTATCACTCCTTGGGTTGGGATCTTGGACTAAATAAAAGGAGAAAGTAACCTAATTAAGCAGTTTCTCTCTACTTCCTGACCGCAGATGCAATGTGACCAGCGCCCTCAAACTCCTGCTACTATGAATTAATTCCCTGCCATTATGGGTTGTACCTCAAAGTCAAGATAAACCCTCTTCCCTCAAGTAAATTTGTCAGAACAGTAAGACAAGTAACTAATACAGTCACCTTCCTGCTCCGCAGGAGGGATATTCCAAGACTCCCAGTGCACAATAGAAACTGAGATAGGTCTGAACTTGACATATACTACTCTCCTGTGAATATCTATCTATTATATAGTTTAATGCATATATTAATTCTAAGAAATTAGCAATAACTGCTAATAGAGCAATTGCAACAATGTACTACAACAAATGTTAATTGAATATGACCTTCTCCTTCTCAAAATGCTTCATTTGACTGTACAGGGCTTGAGGATGACTTTGGGTAATAGGAACCATGCAAAGTCAAACCATGTATGAAGGGGATTACTAAGCCCAATGGGAAAGAACTCCAAGATTCCTTGTGAATGCACTGTATTTTCTTTAGGCATAGTGTGCTGGTAGATTTAACTAATTGTATCTGATTTAGAGTCACATTAAATTAAAAAAAGAATTTCCTATCTATATCTGGACATTTACATTAGGTGGCAAGGGAAATCTTCAGAGCTAAACTCTCACATGAAGTGAATTATCCAAAATTAAATACTTAGTATGCTTTCAAGTGATCTTAAATAGCTTCGCTACTTTCATACATGTGACCCTGGTTCAGAAAATATCTCTGAGTTGCAAAACTGTTTCCACAACTCAGGATTTCTTTACGAGCCATGACTAAATGATTCACATTGACTAGGAACTGAAAAAAACACTGGGTCCTGCTTATGTACCTTCATGCCATCAGATGCCAGCAGTGGGCTTTCTATTTTCTTTCAAAAATTGTTTTAAATGACACACTTATTTATTTTTATTTAATGCGCATTGGTGCTTTGTCAGCATGTATGTCTGTGAGAGGGTGTCAGATCTTGGAGTTACAGGTAGTTGTGAGCTGCCATGTGGGTGCTGGGAATGGAACTTGGGTTCTAGAAGAGCAGCGGTGCTCTTAACTGCTGAGCCATCTATCTCTCCAGCCCCATCTTTCAAAATTTAAAAGTGAACCTTGTCTTCAGTCTGAAGATGCTTTCAATGAAGGACCATAAGAAAAACAATTGAATTAATGTAAGTTTTCCCGTTGTTGAGAAAAGACTGCAAAAATAAAATAAACCCAACTTTCTACACCCACCCACCCCAAGAAAACCCCAAATGACTAACAGGAAGATGCCTTAAATCTGTGCAGAGCAGTCTCTCCCCTGAGAGGTGACAAAAGCCTTGTTGGTTTCACTGATTTGACTTTAAAAGATCGGTTCTGCCACACAGAGCTCATGAGTGTTCTTTGCCATCAGGACATGAGGGTCACAGCTTTCATCAGCTGTTTACTGTTGGGAGAGCCCTGGTTCAGGTCTGGATCCAGGAAGTCATCCGTGTCTGCAGGCCAGACCATCAGCTAAGGACCATCACATAATATTGAGGGACAGCTGACTATGTTAGACTTGGATTCATTTCTCTATGGTTCCTTATGGTGTTTTTCTCTTCTCTAACCATGCCCTCAGCTAAGGGTCAGCTTGTTTTATTTTGTTATTTTTTTTTACTTGTTCTTCCTTCCTATAATCTTGTGATTCACACATCATACATTGTTTCCATTGCTTCATGGTATTTTAACACGATCTATCTGACCATAAACCCATAAACTGTCTGACATAAATGTATCTTTCCCATGATCATAAAATTGACTGCAAAATCCCACTTTTGTAATCACTTGCTCTTTTGCTAGAAAGAAGTTTCCCTTGCTTTTAGCTTGGGCTGATTCGTTCTCCCACCAAGGTAGACTGCAAGTTTGGCCTGGCCATCCTCAGAAGTTTTTACCTTGCAGCATCTTGGTGTTAGCTGCTGGTCTTTGACACAACATTTTAAGTCAGGTGGAAAGAAGAGATGCAAAGGAAGCCAAGGGTTGTGCAGAGGCAAGGTCCTCCCTTCTGAGATGGAACTTACAGCATTTTCTAATGCTGCTACTATAACAACATACTAGTGGATGGGCGACCTCAACCTCTAGTATTTTATTTAAGGAGTTTACTTAGCTCACAGTTTTGGAGGCAGAAAGTACAGGCCACATGATTCCATAGGAATGTGAGTGTGGATAAGATCACATGTAGAGTCAGGAAGATAGAGAAATTTAAGGACCAGAAGTGCTTTTTTTGAAAGAACTCAATCTGTGGGAGCTGATTAAGGTCCTAGGAGAACTTAAGTCCCTAAGCCTAGGTCCTAATGACCTCACCTTCTTTCACTGGGCTCCAGTTCTTAAAACTCCCACCACCACCCAACATGGCCACATAGAGCTTCTAGAGCACAAACCAACCTTTTGGGGACAAGTAGAGTCATATCCAACTCACAGCAACGGGAGGCTGAGCAAATGGAGACGGGACCGTAGGTCCGAGGAGAAGTGCTAAATTTCATCTCCTTCCTCTATGGGTTTCCATGAGGGCTGAGGCATTTCTACCTGGTTTTGACCAACACTAATTACCTAGTCTCTAAAAGAGCATGACAAACAATCTACTCACTTAATAACTATTTAGCACAGATCCGACCATCCTGATGTTGTCACACAATCCTTGATTTCATGTAACGTGCCAGACTTCAACTTCTGTCACTATGCTGAGGCCTCCTCCTGTCATACTTCTGAGTTTTTGACCTCTTCCAGTTGTCTTCTTGTACTTGACTGCTCACCACATTTAAAGGGCACCCAGGGAATAATTCACCTCCACCTTCTCTGGATAAACTTCTCCAAATAGCCTTAAAGCCCATCCCCAGCAAACTACCCATTCAGGACTTGTAATGGCTGGGTTAATTATACTGATGCTTATTTAGCTTACAGTTCTGGGGTATCATATCAGCAGGATCTGCCCAGCCTATGATGAGGACCTTCCTGCTGGATCATGGCATATGTGCAGGGCATCACATGGCCAGACAGAGCAAAATGCTAACTTCAGTCCTACTTTCTCTTCCTATGAAGCCACTTATATCCTCATGGCAACCTCACTCTTGTGGCCTCATCTGATCTTAATTACTGCCAAAGGCACCATCTCCAAGTGCCTCTAACATATGACTTTGGGGATTCGGTTTTGGTATGAGTTTTGGAGGGGATGAACACCTGGATGAAAACAATAGCTGGCCAGACACCAATCCTTCACCTTCCATCTCTCTTTTGACCTCACCACCGTGGGAAAGCAGCCCACCAGCATCTCTCCTGGCTGTGCTAGCTAGTGTGGTTCACTCTTCCTTAGTCCAGTCATAATGGTTTTCCTAAGGAAGCAGATCTGATCACTCCATTCCCCTGCTTCTCCAGTGCCCATGTTGGAATGAGGTTCTGAAAGATTTTGACCATTTGGGCACTGGCCAAAATCTCCCCTTCCCTTTCTTATGTATAACTACCCTCTTTTCAGAACTCCCTTTCTTATAGCAACAACCTTCTTTCCTTTTCTCCTTGCCTGTGTAGTTAACAGCGACCCCTAAAGCAAACCTTAAGCAGGATCCGTGTCTTCACTAGGCTTCTGGCTAAGGTCTCTATCATGTCCTGCTGCTTGTTATTGCTCCCATCATTGCCTGCCTTATCCTCTGGTCCCCAGAGTCTAACCTCTGCATGCCAGGGGCTGTATGTGTGTTACTCACTTCCCTGGCTGGCCTCCTAGGCACAGGACATGAGCTGCTCCACAGGAGAAACCCCTCCTAGCAGAGCCCTGTGCTTACAGCTTGATGCTTTGTGGCCACTTGGAACTTAAGATACACATGTGTACATACATGTGCACATACATGTGTACATACACACTCTTATATTTGGTGCAAAGGATCAAATCCAGGGCCTTGCGGAAGTTAATTATATGCTATAACACTGAGCTACCCCACTAGTTCCTAATTATTTTATTTATACATTTTTATTTTTTATAAGTGTGAGTGTTTTGTCTGGAAGTGTGTGGCCCATGTGCATCAGAACCTCTGGATTGGAGTTAATAGGTACTAATGAGCCACCATGTGGGTGCTGGGAACCGAACCAGGTTCTCTGCAAGAGCAGACAGTTCTCTTAACTGCTGAGCCATCCTCTTAGCCCTCCCCACCCGATTTTAAAATAAAATAAGGAACTTCTCATGTATTCACCATGGCATCTGCGAAGCCTGAAGTTAACAACTAGAGACACTTATGAGTTACCTGAAGGAATGCTGCTCTGTAACTTTTCCTCTTTTGTAACTCTTTCTGTAGGATGAACAGATGTGCTCATCTTTAGAACAGAACAAAACAAAAGCTGTCCTAAGCCCCTCCTCCTGCTCCCACTACCTGCCTGCTATTGGCTGCCAGAGCCCTCCTGAAAATGTGGTCCAGACTCAATGCCACCACAACCAATCCATGGCTCAGCTCCAACCCATACCCTCTACCATGATGGTTCTCAGTCCAGGTGATTCCACCTCCCAGGGAACATTTTTGAAGTTATTTCCAGTTGCCATGGTTGACAGATGCTTTTGGTATCTAGTAGGAGAAGGGGAGACTGATGCTAAATATCCCGTAATGCACAGGTAAGCCCACCCACAAAGTGACCCAGTCCAAAACATGGCAGTACCAACGCTGATAATTCCTGTTCTGTTGCAGATCTTCTTAACTGAATGCAGGGGTCTTGAAAATGTGGCAACAGTAAAGGTTTCTGAACAGGCGATGATCAGATATAGATTGAAAACCAAATGCGTATAGCTGGGCCATGGTGGTGCATGCCTTTAATCCCAGTACCCAGTACTCTCTGAGTTTGAGGTTAGCCTGGTCCAGGATGGCCAGGCCTACACACAGAAAGCCTGTCTTGAAAGACCAAAATGAAAGAAGAAAAAGACAATGAAATGTGTAATGACCATGAGGTGTCTGTGG